GGCCCCCCGGGCTTGGGGGGCCCCCCAGCGGGTGGGGGGGGGCCCGGGTTTGGGGGCCCCTCGAGTTTGGGGGGCCCCCTGTTTGGGTCCAGTTCGAAATATGCTCCAGGTGGGTATTTAGGGTTTTATTTGTTGGATTTGAATAGTTTCTTTTGCCGTCCAAGGGGGCAAGAAGTAGTTAAATGGAATAAATATACTATAAATAAAAGAAATTAATTTAAATTGAGTTAAATGGTTTAATTGGAATTAAATGAAAGTTCAAAAAAGACCCTTTCCACCTACCTGCTGCGCAGCCAGCCCGGGTGTATCTGCAGCTTGCGGCCGCTGTTGTGGACCCCAGCGGTGGAAAGGGGCTAGAAATGCGTGAAAAGAGAAAAATAAAAAGAAAAATGGAAATAAAAAAACAAATAAAGAATAAAAATGCATTAAAAGCGCCGAAAACGCGCGAAAAGCGGGCGAACTGGCCGCGCGTGGGTGTGCGCAGCGCCGCTGCCGGTGTCGCTGCCCGCCGCGGCGCGGGGTGTACGTACACCCGAACCTGCATGTACACCTGAATCTGCAGAAGAAAACTCTTTTTGTTCTCTCGAAGATTTCGAAGGAATGGTTGGCGATTTGCGGAGAACTTTCATTTCCTGGCTCCGACACACGGAGGCCGAGCTCAAACGCGAAAGAAACGTACACACAAACCCTAGGGTTTAGGGTTTAGGGTTTAGGGTTTGGGGTTTAGGGTTTAGGGTTTGGGGTGCGCGGTGCGGGCGTTGGGGCTTGGGGGTTGGGGGCGGGGGGTTGAGGGTTGGGGTTTGGGGTATAGGAGGGGTGGGGTTTAGAACTTGGGGTTTAGGGTTTAGGGTTTGATATGCAAGGTTTGGGGTTTAGGGTTTAGGGTTTAGGGTTTACGGTTTGGGGTTTGCGTTTAAGGATTTAGTGAGACGCAAGAAAGAATTTGAGGAGGAGAAGAAAAGGGCTTGGGCGCTTTTTCAACAAGACAAGGAAAATGAATACAATAAAATCAAGGTAGGTTTTCTTTAGGGTTTAGGGTTTAGGGTTTAGGGTTTAGCGTTTAGGCTCAAGACTTGAGCTTGAGAGCCATTAGGGTTTGGGGCTTTCCTAAATTCTCGCTGGCTGCACACTCCGAGCCCACGCTTCAGGCCTCAGGGTTCAAGGTTTAGGGTTTAGGGTTTAGGGTTTAGGGTTTAGGGTTTAGGGTTTAGGGTTTAGGGTTTGCGCGGCAGGAGGAGCGTCGCGCAGCGCATGCAGAGCTGCAGCAGCAGCTGAAGCAGCTCGAAGTGGAGCGAAGTGACACGAGAGCCAAACTGCAGCAGGAGAAGCAAAAGTTCAAACAAGAACAAGAGAAGGCCAGAAGGAAACACATCCTCGTACGAGGGTTTAGGGTTTAGGGTTTGGGGTTAGGGTTTGGGGTTTAGGGGTTGGGGTCTGGGGTTTAGGGTTTAGGGTTGAGGAGTGTTTCATGAGTTCATTTGGAGCGGATTTGCGGCACTACGGCGTGCTTCGAAAACCGCGAACGAGGGTTTGGGGAGAGCGTTTGTGAGGGTTCGTGTTGTGGGCGTGCGTGGTGGGGGTAAACCCTGAAAAAGGGTTTAGGGTTTGGGGGCGAGTATGGGTGGTGGGAGGGCGGTAGAGCGTGTTTAGGGCTGGTTTTTTGGGGGGTCAGCGTGCAAACCCTAAACTAGGGTTTGGGGTTTGGGGGCGAGTACAGGGCGGTAGAGCTTGTGTTGGGCTGGTTTTTTGGGGGCTCGGCGAGCAAACCCTAATCTAGGGTTTGGGGTTCGGGGCGCGCAGGAGCAGGAGCGCTTCCGGCAGGAAGTGCTGCAGTTCGAGCAGCAGCAGCAGCAAGTGGCGGAGGTGAGCGTGGCTGCAGCGACTGTGGTGGACTTGAACGTGGGGGGGGTGGTTTTCGAGGCTTCTCGCCAAACCCTAATCCAACAAAAAGGCTCTTTTCTCGAAACCCTTTTTTCCGGAAAACTCCAATTCAACAGAGACAAACAAGGAAGGGTTTTCTTCGACAGAGACCCCGAGCTCTTCCGCATTCTCCTCAACTTCCTCCGCCACCCCCACGCGCCCCCCCAGCCCAGGTCTTGTTTTATTTTTGTTATTTATTATTTATTATTTATTATTTATTTATTATTTATTATTTATTATTTATTTATTATTTATTTATTATTTGTTTATTTTGTTTGTTTGTTTGTTTGTTCATTTTGTTTGTTTGCT